TGGTCTTCTCTTCTCCTGCAAGCATGATTGATAATTTGTACTTGTACTCATTTATCATGGCTGCGTCTTCCATGTCAGATGGCCTCCTTGGCTATGGCTCTGCTTGTTCTTCTCAGAAGCTGTGGGTAGAATTTTAATTTTTGCTTTATGTTGCACAGAATTTTAAGCACTACACATGGATGGAATTTCCTCACTGGATCCAGAAGTTGTTCTGTCTGTGCCTAATAAATTTCCCTGATGCAAAACTACAAATGTGATACCTGGTTATAAAGTATTTACTTTGTTTCATTTAAGCTCACAAAAATATTGGATAAACATATTAGCTCAAAGATGTATGTAATGATTAGTTTTGCACAATAGTTAATGACTCCTGATTTTTTTTTTAAGAAAAAACAACAATGGATTTAGGCTCAGGCAGCACGATGCTGTTGTGCAAGTACTATTTTTATTTACTCAAAATAGATACCTCCTGGTTTTCAGTCTCTCACACCCTAGCAATAGTCTTTGGGTTTCTTTGGTCTACTCAGCTGTGGTTTTGTATGTTTGTTTGAAACCAGGAGCTCATCTTTCTACTTGCTCCAGGGAACATGGTAAATACCCCTAAACCAACTCAGGGCTTTAACTTGGCATTCTGCAGTCTCGTTAGAACCAGTGCTGTCTTAGCTTTGATGTAAATTCATGATACTAGAGGGGGGAAAATAGTGAATTTATCACAAGCCTGAAATATCGGCTACACTTGTGATGTATTTTCTCTGAGGCCTATAATTTTGTTATGCAAAAAAAAACCAAAAAAAACTTAAGCTCTCCTCCAAGACCCTAAAATATTAGAGGAATGAGTGAAAATGATGATGCTATATGATAGACCTGTGGGAGCTGGCAGTGCTGGCTTTGGCCTGCAGCAAGGGATGTAACAGGTTCTCAAGTCAACAGCACGACTTAGCCCACAATAGAGGCTCCTTATAACACCCCTTAAGTGTTCTTAGACAAACTAGGAAGGTGGCCGTTCAGTCAGGGATGCCTGACCTTGCAAATACACTGATAACATTTTACTTCCTGGGGAAAGTGTGGTTGCTTGCTAGGTACTTAATGGAACTGCTTTTAAACTTTCATCTTTAAATATGATACTTAGTTCATCTGAGACACTTTCTAGAGTTATGCTGCCTTGAGTATTTGCCCTATTTCGTGTTAGGCATCTTCTATCAGTCTGTGCTGTGCACACGCTCCTATCTTTATAGTTCCTCAATGTCAGTTTTGCTTACTTTCGTCTTTTCTCTCATGCTATTAAAAAATAATAATATTTTTGTTTTCTCAAGTAGTAAAGAGAGGTAGGAAGCAGTAGTTGTCTGCAGCTCTGCAGGATTTCTGAGATTTCTTGAGTTATTTTCTTGTCTTTGCTCATTGTATGACAGGCCTTCATGATTTTTTTTTTTAAGCCAATTTTGGTTTCAGTGTCATCAGCACACAAGTGCATACTCCTAACGCTCTTTTCTCAGGCCATATGGCATCTGTGACTCAGTTTGCTACAAGAAAAGCAAACGAGAACTGATTGAATCTGGTCAGGACAAAGGAGCAGCTTTTTAATTCCCAGCCCTGAACCCAGATGGAGGTTCAAAAGCATTCCAGAACTTACTGTTTCTGGATTCCAGAAACAAATCTTTAAATTGATTTGGTGTTTACAGCCTTGAGCCTGGATTTCATTATGGCAATCCCTGTCTCTGCGACATGTGGAATATGTGCAAGTAGAGAACACAGTGCAGGCATTCAGCTAATGCCTGCAAGCAGCTCCAAATAGTTGCCAAAGTTGGAATGCAAATGCCTGCCCTTGAACGGTAGCATCTGAGATCCATAGTGGTAACTTCTTGAACTGTACCCAGAAAAAAAAATGTTCTTTTCTGCAAAAGACTCTTGAGGGGTTAATGAGTGGGAACTTACTTGCATCCTGTAGCCAGATACCAATCAAATCCAGCCTGGTGAACTCAGAATCTTCCATGCTGTGCAGCTCGCCTGCAGCCATTTGTGTGCTGCTCTTCAAAGTAACTGTCTGGATGCAGCAGATGCTTGTTTGTTGCTGTACAACACTCCCATGGACCTCATGGCGTGTTTCTCCTTACAGTCAGAAACATGACCAATCTTTCCCTTGCTTCTGTCCGTTGGATTTTTGGATGTGGATGGAATACCATTCTGGTATTTCATTATCTGCTCTGGTTACCCTTGATATCAGTTAGTCACCCAACGTTACCATTGCTGGTATCTGTATCTTTCGGACTTAATAAGGACATTAAAATGTGTTTTTATAATGATCAGTAGTAACAGCCTTGTTGGTATCGTCTGTCAGGCTGAGCAGATATAGTTACATTCCATCAAAAAAAGATATAAGCTTTAGAGAAATGGTTGAAAAGGCCGTGAATCAAGAGTTCCTTGTATTAACCTTTACTTTTTTGTCTTTGTAATTACTAGATGACAAACTGTACATAAAGAAAACCCATAATCTCTTAGGGATGATGAGGAATTTGCCTCAAGGAACTGAATTTAAAAGACAAAACAAAAAACAAGAAACCAACAAAAACCCACCCTAACACCTCACCAATTAGCCATTAGTGAAACTGCTGCACTTCAACATTTACACTTTTTGACCTTCACTGCTGCTGAATGTTTTCCTTCGTTTTATCAGCAGACGTGGCACATACATGCACACAGGTGCTGCTTTATGCTGGAAAGGATTTCTCAGAGCCTTAGACTGTACAACAGTGTCTTTTCTGGGCTCTGCAAGGGGCATTTCCTGCAGAACACTTCTGAGCACTTGGGCTGTCAATATGAGGGAGGAAATGAAGAGTAGGGGTGGGCCTTTGCTCATTCAGCAAAATGATAAACCGCAGCTTCCTAAGCTTTAGGGCAGCCGCTCTGACAAAAAGTGCTTTGTGTGCCTGCTTCCTCATCTGCTACTCCTTACTACTGTACAAATCCCCTCATTCACTCGACTTGTGCAAATTCTGCAAAATCCCTCATTTTGAAGCATCGTGTATTTCGGAATGTTAATCCAAAAAAGCAGGAATTATAATTAATTTCTATGCTGAAATAATATAGACAAGGCTTCATCCTGCTGTTGGGATGTAAAAATCAAAACATAAATGTAACTATTACCCAACAGTTTTCAGAGTTTGGACCAGAATTTTGCAGAAGGTAAGCGCAGGTGTATGCCCTGGATTGTTTGTGTGTGGTGGAAGACAAAGCCCAAATCCTGTGGAAACTGATAAAGCTGCAGAACAGCTGAAGCTGACTCCATAATGATCACCAAATGCTCTGTCAGATGTAACCTAGTAATAAATATAACACAGAAACACCCAGAGATGGAGCTGCTTATGCAAGACTTGTCCTTTTTGTCAAGAAGGTCAGCAGTTTTGTTGTGTTTTGCTCAAACGGAACACAGTGGCGTTACATTATTTGGTTGGTTGTGTTCTAAAATTCCGAAGTGAAATTTATCTGTAATAACATCTTGGTTTTCTCCCCAGCGTGAAGGTTTGGATTTAATTTTGTCGAGGGTACAGTCATTGCTGAAGACTCATTGTCTGGGAAACAGCGGCCTAGCAGTGCACGTGGCAGGGTTTGTCTGTGAAAGTGATACGATTTCAGTTTAAATATTACTCTTTGAAAGCTTAATTTTTCAGAACAAAAGGCTTTCTAGCATATCTGCTTCTTGAAAAATGTTGTGTTTTTTTTTCCAGCCTCAGAACTGAAGCCAAGTTAAAATCACTTGCAGGAGCCATTGGGTTTAAGTATTAAAGCATTTGAGCAAAGCTGAGGAAACTGGGCCTGGTTAACCCAGAGGGATGACCGGTGGAAGAGGAGTGAATTTCCTGTCAGACATTCACAGCGAAGGGACGGGGGCTGCAGCAAGGGCTGCTGCAGTGATGCGGGAGGCTGCACCCCCTCACCCTGTGGCTGGGACGGAGGGACTGTGAGGGCTCCGCCTCACTGACTGTGGGCCTGGCACCCCAGAGCTCGTGTCTGTGCCGGACCTCTGTGGGACGGGTCGAGGGAAGAGCCGGAGGAGCTGCTCACTACGAAGCAAGCCCGAGGTAGCTTTGACCACAAAGACAGAAAGTAGAAAGAACCACACTGCGGCCGTCCTGGCCAGGGCTGAAGGCAGTGAGCTAGGTGAAGCCGTAGGGACCCGTCACCAGCTGCTACGCCATCCCCTCTTTACCACTCGGTAATTAAACCCTCTGCCGAGGGCAATCAAACGGCTTTGGCACCGTTTGGGTCGGGGCGTGAGGGGCTGCGACGTACTCGTCGCCCGTCCGGGCTGGGAGTGGAGCCCCGGGACCGAGCGCTCGGCTCCCGCGGGGTGAGAGCAGCGGGGCGAGCGTCCCCGCGCGCGCGTGTGTGTGTGAGTGAGTGTGTGTGTGCGAGTGTGAGTGTGTGTGTGTGCGGGGCCGGGGGGCGGCGCTCCCGCAGCGCCAGCCCCGCTCTCGAGCAGCGGCGGGGCGGTCACGGCGGACACGCAGCGGCGGGGGCGGGGAGCGCGGCCCCAGCAGCCGGCATGCAGCCCCGGCGCCTCGCGCTGCTCGCGGCGGGCACGGAGCAGTGGCAGCAGCAGCAAGAGGAGGCGGCGGCGCTGAGGTACGGACGCCCGCCCCCAACAGGTGCAGGCTCTCCCACGAGCCGGTCCAGAGCAGTCGGGGCTCGGCGCCGCGCGGGGAGGGGAAGAGCCGGGCAGGGGTACCAGGCCCGGCGCGGGAGAACCGCGGTGAACCCGCGCTCTGCGCCTGCCCGCCCGGCTCGCCGCTCCCGCCTCCCCGCCCGCCGGCCCCCGCGCTCACGCCGCCCGCCCCTCCGTCTCTCTCTCTCCCTCTGTCTCCCCGTAGGGAGCCGTAGGACGAGCGGCGTTTCCCCGGCCGGGCCAGCCGCCTCCGGGTCCATGAGCCGCCGCCTGCCGCCGCCCGGGACTGCCGCCGCCGCCGCCGGGCCCAGCTCCCCCAGCCCCGCCGCCGCTTCCGCCGCCTCTCCGCCGCCGCTCCGGAGGTGAGTCCCGAGCCCGGCCCGCTCCCGTCAGCGCCGCCCGCGGGGCCCGGCTCCTGTCAGCCGCGTCGGGCCGGGAGGAGGCAGACGGCGGCCGCGCCGGCAACCGTGACCTCTGGGGGGGGAAGGTGGAGGCCGCGTGGGTCCGCCTGTGTCCCCCGCCGGGTTGTGGGCTTGCAGCCCCGCGAGGAGGGAGGCGAAGGGCCGGGGGGAGCCGGGAGCGGGGCCGCGTGCGGTGCCGGGCAGCGCCCGCGCCTTTCCGCAGCCGCCCGAGGTGAGTGGCCGGGCGGGCGGGCTCGGCTCTCCTCCCCCGGTCTCCCCGCCCTGCCCGCAGCACCGCCCGTCTCTCCTCTCTCCTCTCCCGCAGGACGGTCCCGCTGTGAAGAGGATGGCTGTGACCTTAGAGCAGGCCCAGCGGGTGGGCTACACCTTCCTGAAGGCACTCCTCAGGTTCGCTTTTATGGTCGCCAATAACCTGGTCGCTATTCCGTCCTACGTCCTGTATTTAATTGTCCTGCAGCCTCTGCGAGTGTTGGATAGCGAGAGCTTCTGGTACATCGAAGGAGTGTTGTTTAAATGGCTCTTAGCTATGGTGGCTTCCTGGGGCTGGTGGGCAGGATACACAGGTAAGCACCTCCTGTTAATTACAGACATACAGTTGTAAAGCTGTGAATGGGCATTAAGAGACAGACATCTTAGTATGGGGATGCGTAGGGGAATATCTAAATGCAGTGGGTGTGGGGGTGTTTCTCTTCCAGGGGTCTCTCTGGATTGAAATGCTGAGCGTACTGAAACATTTTCTTAATCATCGGTACAGATTTATTGTGTGTTAAGCAATAGGGTTTCTCATTCAGTACTTTGTCTTGGTATGATCAGAAATACTGCTTTTTTTGCATTGCTTGTCCTCATCGCTTTGGTTTAGTGTTATGTAAAAAAGGTACACCTCTTTCAAAGAGTTTTGATTTGTCCTGTGCACACAGCTGACAGAGCCGAACTTTGAGTATGACCAAACTCTGTTAAGTGCATGCATCTCTAAATCATCGCGGGGCTTAAACCTGTCAGGACATAAACTAAGAAGCTTGGCATGGAGCTCGCCTGCAAAGCGTAGGTCTTCTGGTCCTTCAGCAGTAACTGTCTTCTCTGCTTTGTGAGAATGAAGGGAAACAGGGAGCCTTTTGCACAGAGCTAGCGATGTGCGGTGCTTCTTGTCTGTATGGCTCTTCATTTACTGTTAGCAAAGCTAATTACAGAACCTGTAGGGATTTTTTTCCCCTCTGCATGCTTGCTTTACGGTGATGATCAAACTTATTTTTACTTGCTAGTATTCATAGCCCCTTAAGGTGAAGGACTGAACTGAAATATTAAGGAAGGCTCTAGTCTTGTCTTGAGTGCACTGATTTTCATCCTGGCTACTGCACTTCCTGCAAGAAAACAGCCGTCAAATCTGTGCGTACTGAGACCTTGGAAGGGACTGAATCTATTGAGTGCAAAACATGAACAGCCTTCCTAAAATTCTTTCCCTCTCTTCTGCCCAGGCTACACGCGCAGGTCTTGTCCATGTAAACAAGGAAAAAAAGGAATGGCAACACAGCTCTGGAGTCTAGTCAGACTCCCAGTTAGTCAGAATGTCAGTGTTGTCCCAGACGGAGCCCTTTTTGTTAGACTACAAGAGCTGAAGCTTCTGTGACACTGTGCCTTTTGGTACCCTGTCACGTGCCCTTCTGAGATGCGCAAGGTTTCTGTGGATTCTCTAGGTGAGCTTCCAGTTCTTCTCAAGGAGATGGTGGCAGCAGCAAGCTAGGCTCTGGTCTGCTGGGCTAGAACTGTCGCAACGTTGCACTGCTTCAAAACTGCCTTGCCTCGTACAACTCAAGCTTTTCCAGATGTGCTGTTTTGAAAATCTTTTTATATGTTTATATTTGCTCATTAAAAGAAGTCCACATAGTATTTGCAGTGGCAGGTATGTTTTTAAAAGTCTGCTTATGCCTTTAAGCAAAAAGTCTTTCCGGAAGGACGGACTGACTTTCAAGGTGTTGTGTGCATTATTAATTGGAAATGGGAAAGTTTATGGGCATAACAGTGATGTTAAAGTCATACAGCATACATCCTGGGCAACGTTGCATACGTTGAGTGTGCTAGTTAAAATTCAAGCTGTCGTCCCATGGCGATGTGGTTGTCAATCCTGAAGGCAGTTTCTTTGGGATAGCTCTACTGCTGACTGCAGAACTGTGTGGTTTCTTTTGCCTACTGCTTGGAAAGTGGTCTTAGCATGGTCTGCATATCCTCAAGTCCTCCTGAAGCAGCTGTTGAATGGTGTTGCTGATGTAGCTTGACAATTTGCAAAAATCCTTTGTTGTTTTACAGTCTTGAAATGTCTTAGTATGCTTGTGTGACGTGTCATTCAGCTACACAGAAGTGTTTCTGGGATGGTCTATGGGTAAGGTGGCTCTTCACTTTTCCCTATAAAGTACAACTTTTGATCTGGAGAGAATTTTAAGCAAACACTATTTCAAAGTCTCAGTTTGTACATGTTTTCTTATTTGATATGAAGACATCAGTGTGATTGTTTTTTTGTTTTTTTACTGAATGCTATGAAATAACAAGAATAGCTTGTTTCCTTGTCCTTCCTTTCTTTACCCCTATCAGTGCTCAGCACCACGAGCAGAACAGACCTGAAAACAATCCCTAAGAAAAAGTAAATTTATGTGTCTGTTTCCTGACTGATGGATTTATAAAGGGCCATGGCTGTGGTGCTCTCTTCTTGTGGAGTGTGGTATTCTTGTAGTTAATTCAGAACTAAAACACTGCTTTATTAGAGCCGGTGTCTAAGCCTTACAGTGATACATTTGAAAGAGACCCTGCTCCTGAAGTTTTCTACTTTCAATTCCAAAGTTAAACTGAAGATAGGCCTTCATTATATTCCATCTTTGTAAAAGTAAATAGGTATACATAGATTCAGTAAGAAGATGAAGGATTTTTCGTTTTTTGGGGTAGCAGAGTGGTTAGTGACATTATTATTACTATTATATTTCCTCTTGATTTGAGTTACCCAGCTAAATAAGTTTGCCCATCTCTTAATTGATAGTAATTATCTGCTTCATTTGTTTTGAAGGTGTGTTTCTATTTTTATTTTCTGTTCATTTTTTCCACTTCCAGTCTTGGGTCATCTGTTGGGTAAGAAGTGACGTTATAACATGGAACTTAAAGTCAGCCTGCAAACTAGATTTAGGGCAGGTTGGTTTGCTTTTTTTTTTGTTTTGTTTTTTTAATAGCCTCTGTAAGATTGTGTGTAATGTGTGGGAGAGGGCTCAACACGAAATGAAGACAATGTGGTGAGTGTTAGTTTTTTCCTTCTGGGCTTTGCTGTTGTTGCATAACTTGTTGGTATACTTTATTGAGTAAAGCTGGAACAGCTGAGGAAAACTCATGAAGTAGGTCTGCCCTTCTCCCACCTCCGCATAACCCTGTGAGTTAGGATCTCAGAGGGTTTGTTATAGAAATTGCGTGATCTGGATCTATATCAGCAGCTCTGACCTGTTCTTTTTGATTAATATAGGGTTCCTGCTTGCATGTGAACTTGATGTTATGTAAAGAGAGACAGTAGAACCGGACAAGCAAAACAGAGAAAGGAATGGGAGCAGAGGTTGTAAAGATCCCTCTCCTTTCCCTCGTCTTTTTGTGTCGTATGTCTTCCGAAAAGAAAAATGAGTATCTGTCCACGAAGAATGTTCAGACACCTAGTGGTGTTATTTTGTCAGTTTGCAGAAGGGTGTTCTTACAACTCTTATAAACGTTTTCTAGGGCTTTTGGTATAAACGTGCAACCCTGGCTGTAGGAGCTGTTCAATTAGGACACTTAGAATCTGCGTATTAGCATGGTTTGAAAGGCACCTTTGAATAACACTTCTCAATATTTTCCTGCATTTGTTGGAAGACACAGTCTAAAAAAAGCAAACTCGAGAGTGCTTGATCCTTCGTGGCAAGTACCTTTTTCTGTGCTATAATTTGTCATTTAGCATGCAGGTAGAACAAAGGCTGTTAAATAGTGCCATAGATGAGATGGGAGGGAGATGGAGCATATCTGTGGAGGTGAATTTCCAATGACTTCTTGCTCACCTACAAAACTACTTTTAAAGCAACTATCTTCTATATTTGAACTTCTTCAGGTCAGTGACTATTACTGACTAAAGTTTAATAACCCTGCATCTAATCATATCTCTAAAAATAGTTAGGACTGCTAGAAGAGAACCTGGCTTGGCTTAAAAATGCTTAGACACGCTGTTTTGTTCTTTTTTCCTGCTGTCTAACTGCAGCAGCTACCATTAGCTTGAGATCTTGACATTTTAATATTGTAATTATAAGTCTCTACATAGTCATCAGTCCAGATAATGGGAATACTGATCTTGTGCTTAGCTCTAAGGTTGTAGGGATCTTAAAGACCTTCCAGTTCCAACACCCATGCTGTGGACAGGGACACCTCCATTAGATCAGGTTGGCCCATCCAGTGTGGCCTTGAACACCTCCTGGAGTTGGTGATGGTGAGTGTCCTCCAGATGCAGCTGCTGTCAGCCCTCCTCTGCCATTCAGGAGGAGAAGCGTCCCCTGCAGTCAGTGGGGTTGTGTGCATCTCAGGAGAGGATTCTCTTGTGAGTTGTGAGAACTCAGTGCCACTTTCTGTATCAGCCTCTTGCCAGCTCATGCAGTCTCTCAATCAAGTTGGGCAGGTTGGTGACAGGAAGAGTATATTACTCTGCTGCTGTGCTGAAAGCATCTTAGTGGTGTGAGGGTGCTTGCTGGTATTGCTGGTAAAGATCTAAACTGATCAAATGGTACTGCCTGTACTGTTCTGTAGCAGTCAGTAGGGGCATTTAAATAGTCTCTGTGAGAATATTGCAGTTTTGTCAAGGGAGGAGAGTTTTTATTTCCTCATTTCTTGATGTTCTGACAGGAAGAGTAAAATTGTGATTTGGGTTTCTAGTTGTCTTTCCTCTTTTCCACTCAAGTGATTTAAAATTTATTGGCTGACATTTATGTAAGATTAAGTGGTGACCAGTATATCATTTTTTTCAGCAGTCATCCATTTTTTTTCTCTGATTCATAACGTTCTTAGTTTCTCTTTCATCAGTCACCAGGCTCAACTCCTTTAATCTTTAAAGAATGAGAATATTTTGGTCTTCTAGAACAGCGATGGGCGCAGATGGAGTTGTGATTGCACCTCCCTGGCACAGGTGACGTGTGCTGTCCACACTGCCTCTCATGGCTGGCCAGCCCCTCTCCAACGGGAAGTGCAACGCGAGTTGGGAAACAGCAGATGAGATAAAGTACATTTTTTGCACCAAATAAGGCATGGGGTGTTATTTCAGGAGATATATCTGCATGCTTTTCCCTGCCATTGTTTCCTACCCTGCTTTGTTGCTGCAGTATGATCTTTAATTGGCAGTATTTGGGGTTTGGGAATGGTCACTACTGTAAGGACTAGGAAAGCAAATGGAAGAAGCACACGTATTTCTGAGGACAAGCAGTGTATAAAATGAAGAAGAATATTGTTCTTGTTTGAATGTGCGAACGTACCTGACTTGACAGGTTTGGATAGTGACATACCAGGTAGAGGCTGTATTCCTCTTGGA